GAAAAGGACAATGTTATATTAAATATTTAATATTAATTATCAGTCATTCTTTTACAAATAAAATAAAAATGATTTTTCTATATATTACTGTATATAATAATAATGTTATCATGCATGACTACACTAATATTTTTAATGATTCGCAGTCAAAAATTATCTACTGTATCATAGTAAATTTCATGTTACCTACACTACCCTTAACTTGTAGCTTGATTATTTATGGCCTCAAAGGTTGTTGAAGCTAAATCAAAAGGATGTAATTATTTATTAAAAACTTGATCGTTTTAGAATTATTTTATTATTATCATTTATTTTAATGTGTGACATAAGAAAATGATCGTCACTGTAAAAAATTTATCCTTTCAGTTGTTATGAAAAATCACATGACTACACTCTACCCTTAAACAAATTATTATGGGGTTAAAAGGTATTCACAAAGAAATTATTCATCATGATCTTCATAGTGGTAATATTCTTCAATCTAAAAAATATATGCAGTCACATATTACGGATTTAGGATTATCATGTCCAGCTAGTCAAACATCTGCATCAAACAAAAATGATATATTTGGAGTATTACCATATGTTGCACCAGAAGTTTTAAGGGAGAAACCATATACAATGGCATCAGATATTATACAGTTTTGGAGTTCTGATGTCTGTAATGTCAACTGGACAACAACCTTTTAATAATTTGACACATGATGTAGATCTTGCAATAAAAATATGTGGAGGTGTAAGTAGAGCTCCGAAACGGGTCGGGTTTGACCCGGGTCAACATCATGTTATAATTGTCTTTAAAAGTTCAAATTTATTTTTGAAACTAGTATAGATACTAATAAATGGATAAAAATAAATGGCAAAATAACAATTTTGACATTAAAAAAATCAATAATTGATGCAAGTGTTTATGTAAAATAAAAATAATAATAAATTACGTTATTTATGGTGATCAGTGAAAACCTTATTTTTTTATTATTTAATTGTTATTGCTATTTCGTTATCATTATCATTATTATTATTATTTCATTATTATTATTACTATTGTCCCCGATTAAATTCGGGAGAGTGTATTTTAATTGGTGATAATAATTATTTTTGTTTTATGTGAATCAGAATGAATAGGGGATCAACAAATTGATTTTGTTATTAGCAAATAATTTTGGTTAAAGAAGATAAAAGTTTTAGATAAAATATTTCTATTTTATTTATTTAGTCAAAACTAATTAACTTGTAAGAAAGTTGCTTTTACATTAGGTTGAAATCAAGTTCTTTATATACATGTTCTTTACATATTGGCCTGAATTGTGCGAATCTGCCCATTTTGAAGAATCATCACTAATCTTCACTAAATAAAGTTAAATAAATATGAATGTGCTACAGGTTGATTAATAATAATTAAATGCGCAAAACGTAATGCGAATTCAGATGATAATAGAATTAATAAAAAATATAAATAAATAAAATTTAAATTGTCCCAGAATTAAAAGATTCGACCAAAAGATCTGTGTCAAAATCTAATTCCAGTAATATTTTCAATTAAAAAAAAAACCACAGCATAAGCATAAATTAATTAAATTAATTAATAATGTCAAAAAGAAGAATCGAGGTTGACAATTACAATAATTACAATGACAATGATAAAGTAATTATTTTAGACAGAGAAAGCACATTTTTAGAATCTGAAGAGAGTGTTTACATTGAACCTGAAGGAAATATTAACAATTATATCAATTATAATGATTGTGGTAATGACAATTATGGTGGTTGTAATTATGATAATGATGATAATGATAATGATAATGATAATGAGCATGATAATGATGGTGGTGGTGGTGGTGGTGGTGATGGTGGCAGGATTAATTCTATCAAGACCATTGGTATTTCTAAGAATAAAAGTTCAATATGGACACATTTTG